ACAAAAGCTCCTGAGACATTAATATTCCAGGCACAGACACTGTTGGTTACTGACTCCTCAGGAGGGGGAGAGAAGAGGACAAAACCCCCCACCCTCACCCCATGTGCACCCTGAAGCCAAGAGCAGTGGATAAACTTGGGGGACAGATCCAGAGGTCCTGATGCCTCCCAGGAGATAGTGAGTTTTGTCTCGGGGACCTCCCTGAGCCTCATTCTCCACATCTGTGAAATGGGGGGCTAGCAGTAGGCTAGCCCTGAGGCCCAGGACCCATGGGTAGGCTTCGAGATGTTTTTCAAAGTGCCAGAACACGCAGGCCGGCTCCCCGTGCGTGGCCTTGTTCCCAGAGGGTGTGACAACCAGGGCCTGCAGAGAGGCCAGCACCGGAGGGCACTCACTTCACAGACGGGGTGACTGGGTTCAGAATGGTGAGCACACTTGCTCGAGGCCACACAGATGGCAAGTGGTGGCTCTGGGATCAACCCAAGAATGAGATGATGATGATGAAGATGAGAATAATGATGCCCCAAGTTGCTGTGAGGCTAAAGAGAGCCTGTCTGGCACACAGCCCATCCAGCAAGTGCCCCAGACATTCATCCGGTGCCCTTCTAGGCACCAGGGTTGCAGCAGTAAGTCCCAGGCTTATGACCCTGCTCTCAGGGAGTGTATATTCTGGGGTGTGCAAGTAAGCAGCTTACTCAGATCATTTCTGATCAGTGACATTTCTGTACAGGACAGAAATCACTGGGGAAGAAGCAGAAAGCATTCAGAAGTAAAGGGACAAGGCGTGAGAAAGCAGAGGAGGTATTGCTATGCTCAGAGACCTAGATGAGAACAGAAGGCAGCCCTGGGATGATGGAGGGGCAGGGGAGAATGTCCCAGGCAGCGGGAAAAGCAAGTGCAAAGGCCCTGAGGTAGAAGCAAGCTCTGGCATGTTTGAGGGACATGAAGACCAATGAGCCAGGAGTGCAGTTAGTAGTAGGAGAGTGGTCAGAGCTGAGTTCAGGGAAGGGACAGCCACGTAGCACCTTGAAGACTCAGGCAAGGAGTTTCAATTTTATTCTAAGGGTAACAGGAAGCCCTTTGGAGGTGTTTTTGTTGTTGTTTGTGTTTTTGAGACAGGGTCTCACTATGTAGCCCAAGCTGGCCTCCAACTTGAGATCCTCCTGACTCAGCCTCCCAAGAGCCAGGCAACACCACACCTCCCCGGCTGATTTTCTTTATTTTTTTGCAATGTTGGGGAGGAAAACTGGGGCTGGGTGGATGCTAGGCAAGCACTCTACTACTGAGCAAATCCGCAGCCCCCTCAGAGGATTTTAAGCAGAAGGGTGACTTGATCTCAGTTAGCTTTTTGAATAGTCTGTCTGACTGCTGTGTGGAAGAGGCAGGCATGGAAGCAGTACCCACAAGGAGGCCTGCCCACAGGGAGGGAGGCTGAAGGTGGGAGAGGCAGGCAGAAGTGAAAGGTCTGAGATGTGTTTTAGAGGTGAAACAGAAAGACGTTGCTGAGGGAATAGATTTCTGGGTGAGGCTAAGAGAGAACCTGGATGCTTTCTAGTTTGGGGCTGAACAACTGGGTGGATGGTTGTTACATTTATTGAGATGCTAGAAACTTGAGGAGAAAAATATCTGGGGCAGGGATTGGCGGTGTTAAGCTTGACATTCCAGGAGGTGGAATAATAAATGTCAAGTAGTGGCATAAAAGTGTTATCCTCAAACATAAAAGCCCAGAAGCAGGAGCCCAGAGCTGTTACAGCAGCTCCGCATGTTCATTGGAACTCATACACATTCCTGCCGGCCTTGTCCTCATAGCCCAAGGTAGCTACCGGAATTCCATGCATTACATCCTAATTCCAGCCAGCACAAGATAGAAAAAAGGCAGAAAAAGTATTTGTTCTTCCAAAATACAAGGGAGCTGTATTTATGCATTCCAGCTTTGGTGGAAAAGACAAAAGTTTCTGTGTTCTCCCATTAGAAGTTTCACTATTGCACGAAATGAAGAAATCTAAAATTAAGTTTTTCAGCCTGACTCAAGGACTGATGTACCACAACATCTCAGGACATAGAAAGTGAAAGAAGGAAACTCATAAATTTGAAGGACCCATTACACATCAGGAATTTTCTTTTTGGTACCGGGGATCGAACTCGGGTCCTTGTGCTTGCGCAGCAGGCGGCGAAACCACTGAGCTAAATCCCCGGCCAATCAGGAATTTTCTATGGATTACCTCATGTGATTTCTACCATAATCATAGAAAGTAGACTTATTATCTTTATATTGTGCATTAGGGGCAGCGAAGACGTTATGTGCAGGCATTGCTGGCTGAACGACACGACAGACATTCCCAATCCTTTCCTTGCTTGCTTTTTCTTTTCTTTTCTTTTTTTTTTGTACTGGGGATCGAACTTGGGTCCTTGTGTTTACACAGCAGGCGGCGAAACAACTGAGCTAACTCCCCAGCCCTTGCTTGCTTTTTCTGTCTTATTTGCTGATAGAGGTGGCCTGACTATATGGCCAAGTTGTAGCTAGTGATACTCAAGTGTATGCAGATTCCCAAATTTACAGTGTATACAAAATACACACTTTGCTTATATTTAGTCTAACTAAACTTTATTACAAGGCAGACTCTAGTTGCAAGGGACACTGAAGAGCTCTTTCTGCTGGACTTAGGGCAACTGTAAAATACAAGTTGGATATTTTTACTGAGGAGAACAGAAAGAATGGATGTCAGGATAAGAAGCCAGTACTCTCTGCCTCTATCCCACAGAATTAATCTTTCTACCTTTTGACCCCCAAATTAGTTTACCCAGCCTCTTAACAGGGAAAATAACAGTTTTGATGGGATATTACATTGATTTGTGTCTGCTTCCCCATAACCTTAAAGGCGTTCCAGGGAGGGACCTATTCTGACTCATTTCCGAGTACCTGGGCCTTGAAGCCTACTAGTGCTCAGAAAGTACAGTGGTGCCTCAGTTCACGAACTGAGTTCTTTCCACAATTTTGGTCACAGAATTTGTTCCACAATTCATTTAGTTCGTGAACTGAGATACCACTGTACTCAAATGTATGAATGAAACCCTAAGACAGAATGTAAAAGATATAGTAGTTAGTTATCCAGAATTTAAAGACAACCAGATCTGATCTTTCCCCTGCTTCCACACTTCCATTCCCATTTAGGACAAAAGGCTTAGTTTGTCATTCAAGGACTATCATAAGCCTGTCCCACAATCCCTTCCTTGCCAGTGCTGGACACTTCACCCAGAGAAGATAGCTAGGTGTGGGTACAGAATCAGAGAGACCTGGTTGCAGATCCTGGCTCTGCCATCCTCTGCTGTGACCCAGGGCAAGAGATTTCACTTCTTTGGGCCAATTTCCTCACCTCTAAAATGGGAATTGGGAGCCAGGCATGGTGGTGTACGCTTGAAATTCTAGCACTCAGGAGGCTGAGGCAGGAGCAGCACTGCAAGTTTGAGGCCAGCCTGGCTACATAGTGAGTAAAAGGTCATCCTGAGCTGCATAGCGAGACCCTGTCTCAAAAGTCAAAAAAAAAAAAAAAAAAAAAAAGGAATTGGGATGTGAGGCCCTGGGTTCAATCCCCAGCACCAATAAATAAACAAATAAGTAAAGTTAAAATAAAAAATAAGCAGGGCATGGTGTCACACACATCTGTAATCCCAGCACTTAACACTCAGGAGTCAAGGACAGCCTGAGCTACATAGTGAGTTCAAGCCCAGCCTGAACTGCATAGTGAGACCCTGTCTTGACAAACAATAACAAAGGCAAGAGAACTGGAAGTTCAAGGTCAGCTTGGGAATTTTGTGAGGTCTTGACTCAAAACAAAAAACACTTAAAAGGGCTGGACATGTAGCTCAGTGATAGAGCACTTGCCTGGCATGTCCAAGGCCCTGGGCTCAACCCCTTGTACTCAAAAGGGGTGGGGGGTAAAAAACATGGAGATTGAGGGTGGCACCTACTTCATACAGACACTGTGGAGACTACAGGGAAACGACATAGGTGATTCCCCTTAGCATAGGGCCTTAGCACAGCAGGTGCCTAATAAGTGGTGGCAATGGTGGTTATTGTTATTTTGGAGATGACAGTGATGATGACAGTGCTGCCACCGCTGTTGCTGCTGCTGATTAGTCTTGGCTTTCAGCTTTTTTGTAGGCTGTTTCCTCTGACAGTGCCAGAAACACTCCCTCTCTTCTTTTCTTTTCTCCTCTGCTCTCCTCTCTCTCTTCTTTTCTTTTCCTTTCAGTTCTGGGACAGAACCCAGGGTCTCACACGTGCTAGGGAAGTGGTCTACCACTGAGCCACACCCAGCCAATCCTCCCTTCCTAGCCCCCCAGCATGTTCCCCTGATGGATTAATGAGGATAGGTTAACAGCTATAAACAGTGCTGAAGTCCTAATGGCTTAACTAAAGTGTATTTCTGAGCCTGGCATGGTGGCACACGCCTGTAATCCCAACACACTGGGAGGCTGAGGTAAGAGGATTCCAAGTTGGAACACAGACTGGGCTACTTAGTGACTTAGTGAGACCCTATCTCACAAAAATAAATAAAAAGAGATTGGGGGTGTACTTCAGTGTGAAGGCCCTGAGTTCAATCCCCAGTACGGAGAGGGGGCAGATTGAAGACACAAACAAACAGAAAAAAACATATGTTTCTTGGCCGTGTCACAGTCCTGAACAGGCAGGTTGTGGAGGACAGTCAGGCACCTGGCTGCTTCTGGCTCCTAGGGTGCCCTGTGCTGTTCTGTGATGACATAGACCAGTGGACCTTAGCTGCTAGGGAGCAGATTTCCTCCAGGCCGGGAGTCTAACCACAGGAGACGTAGGGTTGAATGAACTGAATGAGAGGGAGAGGAGCAGGACTGGAGGGTGGGTTGGGACAGGAACAGAGGGAGAAAGAAAAGATTTGAATTGCAGCCCTCAGTGAATTTCCCCATCTCTCTGTTGGTCCAGGGGTGGGACAGGAAGTGCAGACAGAGAATGTGACAGTGGCTGAGGGTGGGGTGGCTGAGATCACCTGCCGTCTACACCAGTACGATGGATCCATCGTTGTCATCCAGAACCCAGCAAGGCAGACCCTGTTCTTCAATGGCACCCGTGGTGAGTGCTGGGGACTGGACTCCTGTGTCCTGAAAGGGGGCAAATTGATGATCTGGGGGAAGGAAAGCACTAGGGGCCAGAACTGCTCATCCTGTAAAGAGGAGGGCCCGAATGATTCTGGGTCCCCATGATGTAAATAGTTTGGACATCTCAGACTCAGAATAGTTGGAGGAAAGAGGCAGAGGGTGAGGTTCTGGACTCCTGGAGGGAGGGTGGGCGTCGTGAGGCCAGAGCTCCCCAAGTTGACACCTTCCCCTTCTCTAGCCTTGAAGGATGAGCGCTTTCAGCTTGAGGAATTCTCCCCGCGCCGGGTGCGGATCCGGCTCTCAGATGCCCGCCTGGAGGACGAGGGGGGCTACTTCTGCCAGCTGTACACGGAGGACACCCACCACCAGATTGCCACGCTCACTGTACTAGGTGACAGCCTCTGCTCCTCAGCCCACGCCCTTTTTTCCCAGCTTCTCGCGCTTTAACTTCCTGTAAACAGGGTCGGCCTTCTTGACCTCTGGTTTCTGCATTTGATCCCTGACACTTGGGGCCCTGGTAACCTTTGGTCCCTAGCATCCCCGCATCCTGGTTGCTTTGGGCTCACCTCGGGGCCGCTCTTGACCCACTGCCCCTCTTGCCCCGCGGCAGTGGCCCCGGAGAATCCTGTGGTGGAGGTCCGCGAGCAGGCGGTGGAGGGCGGCGAGGTGGAGCTCAGCTGCTTAGTTCCGCGGTCGCGTCCCGCAGCTGTCCTGCGATGGTACAGGGACCGCAAGGAGCTGAAAGGTACCGGCTCGATGGGCGGGGCTTGAGGGGAGGCGGGGCTTGGGCAGGAGGCCAATTTATATGTGTGGGCGGGGCCAGAGGGGACTATTGATGTGCCGCTAGAGAATGAATGGATGAATTGAAAGAGGGAGGAGCTTTGGAAAGGGCGCTGGAGTTTGGTTCGGGTAGGGGCGTGGTTTGGCTGAGAAGAGGCGGGGCCTATCCTTGGGGGCGGGGCTCGGGGGGAAAACGTCTGCTTAGAGTTTGGTTGGCGGGATGGGCGGGGCCGGAATCCCAGGTTGACAGTGTCCCTGCCCGGCGTGGCAGGAGTGAGCAGCGGCCAGGAAAATGGCAAGGTCTGGAGCGTGGCGAGCACAGTGCGGTTCCGCGTGGACCGCAAGGACGATGGTGGTATCGTTATCTGCGAGGCACAGAACCAGGCTCTGCCCTCCGGACACAGCAAGCAGACGCAGTATGTGCTGGATGTGCAGTGTAAGTGCCCAGCGGGCAGGGTCCCAGGGGTCCCCCTCCAGCAGTGCGCCCGGAGAGGCTCCCTAGCCCCTCGTGATCGGCCTTCTTCCCTCTGCGCAGACTCCCCCACGGCCCGGATCCATGCCTCCCAAGCTGTAGTGAGGGAGGGTGACACGCTGGTGCTGACATGCGCTGTCACGGGGAACCCCAGGTGAGCTCTGTGGCCCGGACTGCTGGGACCCTGCACTCCTGGATTTGAGGAAGGAGCTCTGGAACCTCAATTCTTGGATTCTCAGAGCGGAAGGGATTGGGAGGGCTTGGATTCCCGAGACTCTGGTGACAGATGGGAGCGGGGCCGGGAATGATGGTTTTCCAGGAAGGAGAGGGCCAGTAGAGAGCCTCTTTGGAGGTTCGTGCGGAGAGCCGCACGTCCAGATTCCTGAGAAGTCAGATGGGTGCAAGCACCTGCGTTCCTAACCCTGGCTATACTTAACCCCCCGCCCAGGCCAAACCAGATCCGCTGGAACCGCGGGAATGAATCTTTGCCAGAGAGGGCCGAGGCAGTGGGGGAGACGCTCACGCTGCCCGGCCTGGTATCAGCGGATAACGGCACCTACACCTGTGAGGCATCGAACAAGCATGGTCACGCGAGGGCGCTCTACGTGCTCGTGGTCTATGGTGAGGGGCTGCTGCAGGCCTGAGGGCGGGGCCAGGGTTGGGGCGGGGCGCTGGGCATTTAGGGGCGAGGCTTGGGCAAAAAACACTGATTCTGTGGGTAAACAGCCAAGAGTTATTACAATTCTAGGGCCAGTCTGGCCGTCTGGGTTCAAATTTGGCTCTACCACGTCCTATTGCAGGTAACTTAATCTGCACCTTAGTTTCCACATCGGTAAAGTGGAAATAAACACCAGTCCCCACCTCATAAGGTTGTGAAAATTGTACCAGCTAAATATAGCTTGGTGCAGTGGTGCACACCAGTAATTCCAGCTACTCGGAAGGCTGAGGCAAGATGATTGAAATTTTGAGACCGGTCTGCCTGAGCATTTTAGCGAGACCCTGTCTCAAAATTTAAAAATGTAAAAGGGCTGATAATATAGCTCAGAGTAGAGCACTTGCCTAACAGATCCGAGGCCCTGGGTTCACTTCCTACTGCTGCAAAAAATAAAAACAGCTAAATAAGTAAAAGGATTGGAATGGACCTCCACACATAGGTAAGTGTTAAGTTGTTGGGTCTCCTTAGGGTGGGACAGGACTTTTGGAAGTGGTTGGGCTAAACCATGAAATGCCTGGAGCGTTTTAGACAAGGTGGAAAGGGACTTGGACCTGTTTCTTGATCTTTTTGTTTTTTTCTACGGTGGAGGGGGAAAAAACTGAATCAAAAGAAAAGAGATGTCCTGTTTCTGTCCTCTGGGAGGTGGAAGGGGAAGGAAGCAAGGCAGGCTTTGGGGATGGGACCAGGGAGTTTGCAAACCAAGTATTCCTTGAGAGAGCGAGGGTCTGGAAAGAGGGAGCCATGATAAGGAACTACACGGTGGCAGTAATTCTGAGGAACACGGTACATGAAAGGGTGAGGTGAGATGCGCTGTACAGAATGGCCTAAAAATGTGGCAACGGTGGGCCTGGACTGGGACCGCCCTCTGATGACCTCGTTCTGCGCCTTCTCCCTCTGGCAGACCCCGGTGCGGTGGTAGAGGCTCAGACGTCAGTTCCCTACGCCATTGTGGGCGGCATCCTGGCACTACTGGTGTTTCTGATTATATGTGTGCTAGTGGGCATGGTCTGGTGCTCTGTACGACAGAAGGGTAAGTAGGGGCGGGGCCTGAACTCAGCGATGGATATGATTGGTTATAGGACTCGACTGGGGCGGGGCCTAGAGCGCGGTTTGAAGGAGGGAGGACACGGTGAGGAAAATAAAAGGTCCCAGTCTAGACCGTGGATTGGAAATTCGGACCTAGGGCCTGGATTCCGAAGAAGCCAGAGCTTTTGGCCTAGGGTTCTGAAAGGGGTGAGCCTTCTAAACCTAATTAAGGTCAGGGATTTGAATAAAACTGAATTAAAAGGCTTATCTTCCTAATTGATGGAGTCTTTGGGAGTGGAGCAAGGGGATACCACCAAGAAAAATGGTCAAAAAGAAAGGGATGTGCTGTTTCTGCCCTCTGAGGGATGGAGGAGGGGGGAGGAAGCAGGACAGATGTCGAGGATGGGAACAGCCTGTGTACAAACCAACCTAGAAAAAGGATAAGGATGGACCTGTCCGTAAATTTTTGGAGTCTTCCTAATTCTGCTTTTACCTCTTTCCCTGCCTCTACCTCTACCTGTTTAACTGTTTTTCTCCCCGAACCTGTCTTCCTGACTTTGTGTCTTGTTTCTCCCTCTTCCTTCTTCTGATATGTCTTGTCTTGTCTCCCTCTTTCCATGTATTTCTGTCCAACTCCTGCCTCCACATCCATGTCCCTGGCATCTGTCACCCCTCAGGCTCCTATCTGACCCACGAGGCCAGTGGCTTGGATGAACAGGGAGAAGCAAGAGAAGCCTTCCTTAATGGTAGTGATGGACACAAGAGGAAAGAAGAATTCTTCATCTGACCCTACCCACCCCAGGCCTGGGCCTGGGCTGGGGTCCCCCCCACTGCCAGCTGCAAGGAGCCAGCAGACATTACCAGAGTCTGGGATGGTGGGCTTCTCCCCCCACCACTAACACCTCAGACACTTGGGCAGGGATGGGGGTGTTGGATGCCTGGATCTCTGCCAGGGCCAGAACTGAGGGCCCAGAGGTCTGGGTCCACTGGGGGACAGGGCCTCAAGGTCCAGAACCCCCAAGTCCAGCTAGGGCAGTAGGGATTGAGTTTGGGGACAATAACTGGGGGAAGGCCAGGGCCCCCTAGGCTACAAAACCAGGTCTTGTGGGGAGGGGGTCAGATTCTGGGAAGGGTGGGTGGGTGGGGAAGGGGAACACAGATTTCTTTGGGGGTCCCAGACCCCATGCCAGCCATTGTAAGAGTTCCACAGAGCTCTGGGCACCTCTTTGCAAAGCCATGTTTGCACGGTGGGGGGAAGGGTGGGGGGAGGGCATGGAAATAGGGATTCTGTGTCTTTGTGTCATGACTTTGAGGGGGGCAGTGAGGGAGAAGCCCCAACCCTGATCTCCCATCCCTCTTCCCCAGGTTCCTGGGCTCCCCTCCTCCACCTCCTCCTTCATGTCTGTCCCACCCCTATTTGTCTGTCTACCCACTCCTGGGGGGGCCTTCCCCATCTCTCCTCCAGGCCCCCCGGGGAGGGGAAAAGGAGTATGGGGGGGATGCGCAGTCTTTATGGTTTTATATATAATATATTAAAAATATCAAAAATCTGTATGAAAATATCAGATTGCACCCCCTCCCCCCACTCCTGGCTTTTGCCCCTTTTTTTCTTGTTTAAAAAAAACACACACTTTTGTACGGGGTGGGGAGGGGATGGGGAGGGGGTTTGGCAATCCCACTAACCACCATTAAACCGAGGAGAGAACAAGTGTTTGGGGTGGTTGTGTGTCTGTACCTCTGCCCAGAGCTGCACCACGGGAGGGGAACTAAAGGGGGCGGATCTCATGGCTGCTGGTGGACCGTGTAGGTTAGGACCGGTCCTGAATGCACCAAGGACACCTGTACCCTTCCAAGCAACTTGGCCAGTTCTTCAGCCAATTTGTCACTGAGTCTTTTTTGGGTAGCTACTGAGCTACCCCATGGCCCACCTTTCCCCCTACCCCAAAGTCTCCAGGGCAACTTTCTTTTTTACTTTTTTTTTTAACATGGTGCATATTCTTTTTATTATAATTAATGCATATTAATTGTACAGATTAATGGGTTTCACTGTGACATTCCCACTCATGTATATATAGTCTTTTTGATACAGGGCATATGATCTATTGGCCCTGCAAATCACCTAAGGGAAATATTATAACTCCCAACCTGATAGATGGCTGACGTGTCTGAGTCCGTGTTCTCCAAAATCAAGTAATGAATTATAGGAACAATAAAGGTTAAGAGTAGGAAGAATTGGGCCAGGAATTTAGCTCAGTGGTACTGCACCTGCCTTGCAAGTGCAAGGTCTTGAGTTTGATCTCCGGTACCAAAAAAAAAAAAAAAGTAGGAAGAATTTATTGAGAGAAAAACAGCTCCTGTCTAAGACCGACAAGGGGAACCAACCAGAAAGTGGATTGCTTGTGGACCCTACTTCTCAGGAATTTTATAGAACAAAGCCCTAAGGTGAGGCAGGACAAAACTAGTCAACTAATAAGATTATAATTATGGTCACTTAGGTAATATTAATCCAATGGGAAATCACAAGGTGGGTATGAGATGGGACAAAACTATGGTCAACCAATAAGATTACAAGTGTTGGGGCCGGGGATTTAGCTCAGTGGTTTCGCCACCTGCTGCGCAGGTGCGAGGACCCAAGTTCGCTCCCCGGTACCAAAAAAAAAAAAAATTGCAAGTGTAGTCGCTTAGGTAATTTTGATTAAAGGAGGATCAAATGGGGAAGCAGTCAAATAAGAGTAACGAACAAGGACTTTCTGGGAAGGAATGGGGTAGGGAGGTTTTGGTTCTCCACCCAAGGTGATTAGTGCCTATTTAGCATATCAATGACTGCTTTCATCCCTAGGGGAAGTATGTGGGTGTAGTCATTTCTCTTTGTCTGGAAGCTGAGCCTTCAACGAATAGCCTCCAGCCACAGTTGTGATGTGTTCTTAACCTTCTGGACTGACTTTGAGGGCCCAGTCACCTACAATACTTTGATCATATCCTCCCTACTATCCTTACCCTAGGGTCCTTTCCTTTCCTTTTCCCAGAGAAACTTTTAGTTATTTATGTCCCACCCTGTCCTTGCCCTGCTCAAAACCTTTCCCTAGCTTCCTATCGCTTCTAGATTAGGTCAAAACCCTTTGGTTTTGCACCTCAGACACCTCATTCATTCATCTAGAGTTTTAAATCTACAGTATCAATCCAATTTTTGAAAAAATTTTAGATTCAATAATAACATCTTCTAAGCCCAGGTGCACACTTATAGTCCCTGCTACTCTGAGGCTAAGGCAGGAGGATTACTTGACCTCAAGAGTTCAGGGTTAGCCTGGACAATATAATGAGACCATTATCACTTAAAGACAAAACAATAGCTGGATGGGCCAGGATTTAGCTCAGTGGCACTGTGCCTGCCTAGCAAGCGCAAGGTCCTGAGTTCAATCCCCAGTACAAAAAAGACCAAAAAAACAATCAAAAAAGAAAAGAAACACAGCTGGGTGTGGTGGATGTAATGGCACAGGACTGTAATCCCAGCACTCATAGGCTGAGGCAGGAGGATAGAACGTTCCAGCCCACTTAGTGATTAGTAAGAAACTCTCAAAATTTTATTATTTTGTTTTGTTTTTGAGATGGTCTCATTATGTAGTTCAGACTGGCCTTGAACTAACTCACTATGTAGCCCAGACTGGCCTCGACCTTGTGGTGATCCTCCTGCCTCAGCTGAGATCACAGGCGTGCATCACTAAGCCTGGCCTTCAAATTTTTTAAAAAAGGGCTGAGATTTTGGCGCCTGCCTTGCAAGCACAAGGTCCCGAGTTCAATCCCCGGTACCAAAAAAACAAAAGGGCTGAGAATGTAGTTCAGAGAGGAGGCG